GCTTCGGTCGGAGCTTATGATTTCCGCAGATTTTGAACCTTGAGGATTATTCTTTATTGGTTTATAGCATTAAAGGTTTTTTAAGCATGATTTATATTTTTTATGTTTACATAAGAATTCTAAATAAGACGAATGGTAAAAGTCAACACTAGTCGTATATTAAAAAGCATATAGTAAGCATATAGTAATTTCATCAATTAGGTGGGACGAATCACGAATATGCATGGTTGGACCATTTGTCAAAAAAGAAAGTTAACTTTTCTTTATGCTTAAATTGCAAGAAAGGCCCGGCATTTAATATATATTAAAAGCAAACTGAAAAGCTTGGAGAGAGTGGCGCAACTCGGTATGGCAAGAACTAGTTCATACCCCGCGCTTTGCTACAGAATATGTGAATGAATATATATTACATTATAGAAAATAGGTATATGTTTAAATAATATGAAATGATGAGTAAACATTACTTACATATTGATTTCTAAATATACAATAAAATGATAATCTTATGTCACGTTTGCATGAGATTTAAATAATCTAGATAATAATTGCTAGTAGGTGATGATGTGGTACACTTGCATTGTGATTTAAAATACTTTAGATAATAATTACTAATGGGTGATGATGTGACATATTTGCATATTGAGATTTAGAAGTAAGTAGGTATCAACTACTACCTCCGCTCTATATTAGTAGCCGCTTTGACTTTTTGCTTGCAACGTTTGACCATTCGCCTTATTGGAAAAATTAATACATATATAGAAAATAGGAGTTATACTTAGAGTACTTTTAATAATAAAGCAAGTTACAAACAAAATAAATAATATTTTCATAATGTTTTAAATAAGACAAATGATCAAACGTTACAAATAAAAACTCAAAGCTACAAGTATTTTGGGAAAATATAGATTGATACCTGAAACGAGCAATTACATCACAAGCTATGGATCGCATCCTCGACGGAGCTCTGTTCAAGCAGATTATTAAGACATTTTTGGGTAAATCTTTGATCAATTTATTGTCTCTATTTGAACTTATAACCTGTAAGGTGGCTGATTGTCTGGCCTCTTTCGTTGTTGTTGCCGCGGCCTCTGGCTTAATTACCATGTTTTTTTATTTATCTTTGCAGCCTACCACTAATTTCTTTTACTTTCGATACGGCCTAAACTCAAAGCCGTGAACAATGACAAGAATTGACCTTACTGATACCATCGAACAAAAATATACATTAGCATGCTTTAATTTGCTCATGTTTGCACCTGCGTCGCTTTCGCGTCCACGTGTAACGTACTTGTCTCGCCCATGTGGGCCTGTGGCTACGCATGTGTAAAAAATCCATCAAACCAGCAACATAGCCAAGGGCGGTGCCATTAATCGGCTTGTTGCTGTTGACTGTGCTGCAGGCGCCAGATGGTGGTCTGGTCGACAAAGCGATCGATCGAACCGTTTGTTCCTAACACACTAGTACAGTACCGGAGTCGAACACCTAACAGCTAGCCATCCAGCTGTACGTCATCGGGCCAAAGTTTAATTGGTAGATAGCCTGCGAGCTAGACCAGTGCAGTGCACGCACCGGTACACGAATCCAAAAGAATAAACTCCAATATATAATGATGATGTTGTTCGTGTCGTGTGGACCAAATTAAGCCAAAGCAGTGAATCAGTATGGTCGATCTCGGACGGTGGTTGTGTGTACTTGTGTGTTGGCCCAGCAGCCACGAGGCTAAGCTAGGCATGACTTGTGGTTGAAGCTAGCTGTACGCTTAATGCATGGTACGGTTTAATTAGATGAATGCATGCTGGAGTGTGATTGATATGCTTTTCGAGCTTTCGCCTTAGTTTCGGGCGCGTCGTCCATGCACGTACGTGTCGCACTCGCACTAGCTACTAACTCGATCGATCGCGTACGTAGGACGGAGCACTGATGTACACATGATTGATTATTTAGTAGTAGTAGTGTCGGCAAGCGTACGATGTGTTGTGGACACTTGTTGTGGATCACCTCTCGATCGATCGTCACGCTCGCTCCCCGCGCATAGGCCGCCGGTTGGTGGTGAGGTCAGGCCACCGGCTGCTGAGGCTGTGGGGCGTGGGCTGTCACCGCATCGCCACACTCGTCGCCCATCCACGCGTATCTGATTTGCAACCCTTAACTTCAACCATAGAACTTAGGACTTGTTTAATTTCTAAACAAATTAGCCCAAAAAACATCACATCGAATTTTTGACACATGCATGGAGTATTAAATATAGATAAAGAAAAAAACTAATTGTACATTTTGCATGGAAATCGCGAGACGAATCTTTTGAGCCTAATTAGTCCATGATTAGCTATAAGTGTTACAGTAACCCACATGTGCTAATAACGGATTAATTAGGCTTAATAAATTCGTCTCGCGGTTTCCATGCGAGTTATGAAATTAGTTTTTTCCGAGATCCGATCAAACGTCCGATGTGACACCTCAAAATTTTCTTTTCGTGAACTAAACACACCCTTAGAATATAAAGGCACTTCCAACTAGTGAAACGGTTTATTTTATCTTCCCGAACGATTTAACGATGGTTTTGTTTTATATGACAATTATAAAACAAAATAAGACATACATATCAGTGATATTTTTTATCATACAAATAAAAAATTATGTGGGACCCATATATCAGTCAAATAAGAAAAATAAAAAGTAAAGTGACCCACTTTCTCTACCACAATCATCAGTCTTCTCTAAAATAAAAAGTAAAGTGACCCACTTTCTCTACCACAATCATCAGTCCTCTCTTCCCTCTCTAACCTGTAGTGGCAGTAGTATAGCGTATGGTGGAGCCTAACCGGACAACAGAGACTTCTGCAGTTGCTGCCACCGGGGCAGCAGATTGAGCCGACAATTGGGGACCAAGGAGGCCGATTCAACATTGACACCCATGCTCTCGATAAGGCCAGCGGCTATGTGGCTCTTACGCTTGGGAAGGAAGAGAGGAGGATGAGAAGCGGCTCCTGGTGTGGCCCATCCAAATCCGAACAGCTTGACCTCTTCGAGCAACCGCCAACCGGTGAGCTCAGGTGCCATGAATGGCTAGATCGACATCATGGAGGAGCCAGACCGGGAAGGCGTGGAGCAGCATGTTGTGTAGCCGAAGGCCGTGGCACCCTTCCGTTTCGGCTCACTCCTCAGCACGCCCATGCTACTCCTTCAGTTCCCCTGTATTGCCGTCCTCCACTCGTTGGTGAGGACGGTGGTAGTAGCGGTGAGGTGGCGATGCCATCCTAGGTGTAGCACAAGTCAATAACAGTGACATGGCAGCGGCGAAGGTCCATGATGAGGGACACAAACGGTGAGGTGAGGACGCCCCTTGGTCACAACACAAGATGGCAAGTGCGAGGGAAGGAAGGAAGGAAGGAGGCACATGAATAGGGCTCTCGTCGAGCTCGACCACTGGTCATGAGGAGGCAACGGGAAGGGCGATGAGGTGGTGGCCACGAGCAATGGAGAGGTAGAGGCTTGAGCACACCATCTCGTCATCTTGCTAGAGAATCACACGGAGGTGGTGGCCACCGGAGAACGCGCTAGAGCTCACTGTCGATCTGGTGAAGTCATTGATGCAGTCGCCCACCAAATCAACACAATCGCTCCTTTCCCTGTAACCATGCATCATCCTTATTGGCTGCTGCTACTGCCTAGGTCATCACCGTACCGTTTGAGGCCGCTGCATGTCTTGTCTTCTTCCTTGCTAGTATTGCTATGTAGGGTTGCCGTAGAGGGTGTAGGAGAGAGAGCATGAAGGACATGAAGAGTTGGAGGAAGAAGATGAGGTTGACTGATGTGGATCTTATTGATGTTTTTTTCTCTGATAATGCCACATAGATGTCATATCAGCTTAAAGCATTGTCATGTGCTGTGCTGACTGTAATACTATGCAGGTCCTATATCGGTCAAAAGCACCTTGCTAACCAGTGAGGGAGGACTAATGATCCGGTTATAACAGTTGTGATAGTCAATAGAGAAATCCGATTTTTTTTATTTTTACATTTTTTTATTAAAATATTTACAAAATAATTTTTTGTTTTGAAAATTTACAAATCTAGTCGCCTCTCTGGAAAGGCGTTTTTTAAAAATCGCCCTTCCAAAGGGTGATAGGGACCTAAATGCAAATTTTTTTTATTTGTGTTCAAACCCTTTCCACCAGTTTTAATGCTTAAATACTAATAATGCTTATTCGACACTTCAATTGATTTTAACTGGAAAAGTGATAAACTATAAAGTTGCAGATATCATCGAGATCTACAACTTTTATATAAAGTTTATCTCCATCCGATATCGTTTAAAATGTAGATCTGAAATTTTTTTAAATAGGTTTTATATTTTGTAACAAATATTTGGATATCTAAAAGATCTTAAATGTAAAAGTTGTTGTTGTAGATCTCCTCAAGCTCTACAATTTTGATATAAAGTTTTATTTTATTTTACTTTATATAATGTAATTTTAAATTATAAAATTATAGAGCTAACAAGCTGTGCTGGAAAATTTGCATTTAGATCCCTTATCGCTCTCTGGAAAGGGCGAGAGGTGACTAGATTAAAAAAAAATTATTTTCGTAAATATTTTAATAAAAAATGTATAAATAAAAAAATTCGAGAAATGCGAATCAAAATCAGCCCATGGTTGAGGGTCGCAAATGGACCATTTCGTCCCTTTCGTCTCCCATTCTCCATCTCTATGTACTGGGCCGTGGCCCATGTCGCCTCCGACCCGAGCCCACCTCTGGTTTCGCAGGCCGCAGCACCTGATACATATGGTCTAAACTCTAAACCGGATTACTCACACTGTAACAGGACTCCACTTCAAACTCCGTTTCGTATCAGGTTTACAACTGAAACCAATTTCAGTTCGGTGTCCTGCATCCATCGTGGGCCACAACAAACCAGATGATTCGCTTCATAAAAATCGCCGCCGCCACGGACACGGACGCCACGCACACGCCGCGCGCGCTCTTTTCGCCTTCGCGCCATGGCGATCTGCGCTGCTGCAGCTGACCACTCCCGCGCATCCCCAAGCTCCGCGGCAACGCAACCAACAACCATCTGCTGGAGACCCAGCAAGGTCAAGGAGGAAGTAGAAGAAGACGGAATGGTTGTCGATCCCCCGGACGACGCCAGCGAGGCGTCCGATAATCTGCGCGCGACAGGTTTCCAGGACACGCCGACGGTGGGCGAGCTCGTCCTGCGCCACCTCCGCCCGCGTCTCCGCGGCTTCCACTGCGCCGACGGCGACGTCCCCGTCATCGGCGTCAGGGACGACCCCGCCGCCGCGGCGCCGCTGGACCTCGTCGCGCGGCACGGGGGCGCCGCCGACAGGCGCCGCGGCGAGGCGTTCTACTTCGTGCGGCGGAGGCGCTGCCGCCGGCCGAACGTGCGGCGGACCGTCGCCGAGGGAGGCGGAGGCGGTGGCGGTGCGGGCGGGCTGTGGAAGAAGAGCTGGACCGGGTCCGGCAAGTCGGTGACCGACCTCGGCGTCGTCGTGCCGTGGAGCAAGACGTGCTACTGCTTCTACCGGCGCGACGAGGGCGGCCGGCTGAGCACCTTCGGGGGAGGGTGGGTCTTGGCGGAGTACGAGATCACGGAACCCGGTACGTACCGGCGCGCCGACGAGGAGGAAGACGACGACGACTACTGGGTACTTTGCCACGTCAGGAAGACGGCAAGCAAGAAGAGGAAGCGGAATCGCTGCGATGAGGCCGTGGCTGCACGGGCTGTAGCCGGTACGGAGTCTAAGTCGTATCTCCTATGTGGGCTGACAGCGAATTGATTTGGGAAGCATTACCAGTCCGAGGCAAGAGTCTCAAAGACCCTGCGGGCACCGAGATTGTGACATACTCCGTCCTCTAGCGTTCCAAAAATATTTGTTGAATAAAGTCTTCATTTCTGGGGTTATAACCCATCAAACTAAGATATTGTCTCTCCCCGTCATACTATAAGATATTTTTAAATTTTTCAAGACAACTTTCTTTTTTTGAGTTTGATCAAATTTATATAAGAATATAGCAACATTTTTCAAAAAAAAAAACTAGTGAAATATAAGGCCGAACCTTAAACTTGTGTGATAATATCACTTAGCTCGGTACACTTTATTTATTGTACCAACTACCACCCTCGATTCAATCGTCTTTTGATTATGGCTGACCGTCAACATGGAGTGCTATGTAGGCAATTTTTATGCACTTGGCTTCATCCGCATCACAACATTTCACAAATATTTGATATACCCCCTTGCATCCACTTGGAGAAGCCATGGGGATCCCGAGCGTGTAAGCCGCATTGTGCCACCAATTGTCACGAACCTTGCCGCACTGTGCCGCCTCTCGCCGTTAACCACTACCTCGCCGCCTCTCATTGTCTTGCAGTTGAAACCCTAGCCGATTTGGTTTTTTTTTTTTGGATAAGGGTGGCACTACACCTGATAGACATATATGCAAATTATGCAAGAAAGTATATACGGAGAAGGCCGAGTGTAAAGTGTTGCCTACGTACGCATTCATTGAACCAATAAGTATTAAGATGATCCTTGAATTCGATCAAACATTTAATTTACTCTTCATTTATGTTTTGGATACATGGAAAATACAAATATGACAAAATTAGTATTTAGAAAAACCAAAATACGATGGTGGGTGAATTGCTCATGTTGATAAAAAAATAAGAACAAATTAACCATTAATGCACGTGTTACATCACATTTTGCATTCCAGCAAATCAAGTAATTAATCAACTATACGTGTATTGCACATGTTGATCGAAAAAAATAACAAATTAACCACTGCACACGTTAAAAATAAAAATGAAGAAATTAACCACTTGTGATTCTTGGAGAAGTAAAGGCGAGGCGGTGTGCTTAGATATCAGACTCACTAATCTCGTCGGTCTTCTTTGGGGATGGCTTTCTCTGGGTCAGGATCAGTAATTTCAGTACCCTTGGGGATGCTGTCATGAGGATCATGACCCTTAGTCATTGTGTACCGATCAGCAACTTTGGTGGAGGCAGTAGTCCTACCACTGGTGAAGAAACTATATTTCGTCGGTCGGCCGAATTCCATAATAGTCCCGGTTACTAAAGAACATCTTTAGTCCCGGTTCAAATGCAGTCAGGGCTTGTCAGGCCCCCCGGGATCACTAAAGATCATAACTTTAGTCCCGGTTGGTGTTACAAACCAGGACTAAAGACTTGTCGCGACCGGGAAAATTGCCTTTTCCCGAACGCTAGTGTATTAATCCCCGTCCCAGGAAAAGCCGGGGTACACCGAACAAACATGATACAAAAGGCACATCTTTATTATATCGATAATATTTACATTATTACAAAGGCACTTAAGGCCTGACCATAAAAAATAAACAGCAGCGGACTAGCGGGCCTACGGCTCCATCTTCACAGGCGCTCAACTGGGGTATAAGCTAGGACTCCACCTAAGACTTCTTCTCCAAAGCTTCTCTTACTGAAGGGGGGGGGGAAAAGATTGAGCAAGAATGAGTACAACCACAGTACTCAGCAAGCCACACCGGAGATGCATAATTAATGCAAGGGGGTACAAGGGGATAATAATATAGGGGTTAAGTTTTGCAGTAAACAGCATTTAAAAGTCACTTAGTTGCCCAAAGCTATTTTGTAAACACGATCCTAGAGCTATACAATATTATTAATCAAGGCCGTGGACCCACACGAACCTGCCTTAACCCAAGGCCTACGATGATTCAGACCGAACTGGCAACTCGACCCTGGGTCCCAGCTCGTCCCAAGCCAACCCAGGCCAACCATTCCACATTTTAGTTGTTAAGCAGGTTTTAAGAATTAAAACACTAACTTGGGTACATTGCTCGGCTTGCCCATAACCGAGGGCGCGGCTATTCGAATAGATTATACTCTGATCAGAGGTGTACATCTTTACCCACAAGACACATCTTCCTCACGTGTAACCACGTGCCACATACCACCACGGTATACGGACGGAAGACGTGACATAGTTCCCAACCCATCCTAGCCATAAACAAGAGTACCGACCCAACCCCACCTACGGCCGGAACCTCCGGGACAGGTAGGCAGGATTGAGCCCCTAGCAGCAGGACACCAGCCCTGTACCATGACATCTCGACTACCGGGCCGCAGCTCGTGTAGCCTTCATTTGTCCTAGAGATGTCCATCGACCCCCGACTTCGTCCATCTCCATCCGTGTACTTTTGTTTATAACCAGACTGAGCCACAAACTAAGCCTTACCCACTAGACATGTGGAAGTACGGTAGTGCTTTGCAACAGAGGCCCGAGCTTAATCCTTATATTGGTCGGGGTGCTACTTCCCACAACTGGCATGCACCAAAACCCCACCGAAAAACAGGTTTTAGGGGCTTTGAAAGAGGAAGAGAGGGGTATGTCCAATTCCACCATAATCCAACAATTCCATAATGTCCAAATGATATGAGATTTCCCAAAGTCTAAAGTTATAAAACCACCTAATGTTGCCTAATTAACCAGCGAAGCATCTACCTAAGTTCATACTAGTGGAACCATAAATAGAGTACCCACTAGTTGGGGTTTTATTTTCCTAGGGTGAACAAGGTAATAATAACAATAGCAATAATAATGTCTTAACAATGATAAATAGGCATGGCTAAATAAAACAGTGATAACGCGGGAATTTAAATAAAGCGATAATGCAATAATTCAAATCAGAATAATTTTATAAACTGGGATTCAATATGTTCAAGGATGATGTGCCTTGCCTTGCTCGCTTTCCCAAACGCCGGCTTCAACTTCCACGAAGAGCGGATCCTCCGAAGCTGCAGCATCTACACGAAAATGGGTTCTTGACTTCTTAAGGAAAAATTAGAGACTTGAACGGTCCAATTCCGAGTTCAAATGGCCAAGTTATGGCCATTTGAAGTTTATATGCTCTTTAAATGAATATTTGCGAATTTCTTCATTTAAATTTTAATTTAAAATTTGGATTTATTGCGTCAGCCGAGAAGAGGGGCGCGCGGACCGGGTCCACGGGAGTGGGGCCCACGCGGCAGCCTCACGGTCCACGGTGGACCGGGTGCACCCGGGCTCGCACCGGCCGGCGCCGTGGGTCCACGCGTCAGCCGCACCTAAGGGCGCGGGCGGCTGACAGCCGGGCCCCACACGGCAGCCGCGGGGCGCGCCCGAAGGCGGCCACGCCGGCACAGCCACCGGGAGGCGGCGCGCCCGCGTCCCTATGGTCGCCGGCGGCGGCCATAGGTACGGCGGAGCGGCGGCCGAGATAGGGGAGGGAAGGGGGAAACGAATCGGCGGTCCACGGCTCACCCCGGGTCGACGGCGACGACGGGAACGGCGACCGGAGCGGAGGAAGGCGGCGGCGCGGCTCGGGTGGACGGGGTCGACGGTGCTCCGGCGGTCGGCGTGCGAAACGGAGGGGTGGACGAGGTCGCCGGGGATGCGGTGAAGCCGAAGGTGGCGACGCCGAAGCGGGAGAAGGTCCGGGGCGACGACGGCGGCAGACCGGAGCTCGGCTGTGACGGCGGAGAGAGAGAGCGACGGCGCGAGCTCGATTCCGGCGGAGAGAGAGAGAGCGGCGAGTGGCGGAAACGGTGGAGGGAGGCACGGGGAGTGTTTATATAGGGTTGGGAGTGAGCGAGGGCGGCCGGATGAGGGGGAAACGGGCGCGGAAGATCCGGCCGCCATTGATGCGCCGGCGAGGTTTAGGGGGAAAGATTCCGAACGAATCCGAGGGAGAGAGGGAGGGAAAAATGGGGGGGAAAGAGGGAGGGAATCACGGGGAATATTTCCCCCCTCTTGATTGCACGCGGGGCGGACGGGAGCGGCGGGATTTGCGGCGGCGGCGGCGCTAGGGCACGGGCGAGGCGGCGGGAGCGGCGGGAGGAAGGGGATGACGGGTGGGCCCCACCCGTCAGCGTGGGAGGCGGGCGGGCCCGCCCGTCAGCGGCACGCGCGCGGGGAGGAGGCCGAATGGGCCGCGGGGAGAGGAGAGGGAGGGGGAGGGAGCTGGGCCGGACCGGCCCAAGAGGGAGAGGGGGAGGGAAAGGGAACTTTTTTAGGGTTTTTCTTTTTATAAAACCTTTTTAACTTTGTTTATTTCTTCTTAATTATTATTTGTGCTCTGAAAATTCAAGTAAAATTTGAGGGCTCCTTTTAGACGAAGGAGAATTTAACAAAAATTCTCCGGGCCACATTCGAATTTTTCTGGTACGTATTTTAGTGTTTGCCAATTTCTTTTTGAATTTTAATTTAATTCTATTATTCCTTTTAGGGAATGATTTTTATTTCGGGATGAATTTATCAGGACGTGACATGACTCCGGCGATCTTTAGCCCCGGTTCATACCACCAACCGGGACTAAAGTCCCACCCCTATATATATATGTCTTCTTCCTCCTCCAGCCCGAGCAAGCTTCAAATTTTCTTCAAAAAAGAGGGGAGGTCATGCCAAAGTTTCTAGCGAATTTATTTTGGTGATTATATACAAATCGGAGGTGCCTAAAAGGTTAGCAACTTCATCCTCCAATGTATTTTTTTGTCATATTACATTTGGAGCTATGTTTTGCACACTTTTTTGTCTCCAAAATTTTATTGTAAGTTGATGAGAGAGAAAATTTGTGTGGGGAAGAAAGAATATATAGAAATTTAGTTTATTTGCTAAAGAAGGTTTTATAAAATAGTTGAGAAGGAAAATATAGTGAAAGTTAATCTGAAATAATAGAAAACACACTAAAATGAAAATTAAAAGAAGTACAACACATTAATTTTAGTTTAAAACTTTAGAAATAGTAAATAAGAATTATTTGGTGTAATATTTTATAATTTTTGTATGAATAATGATATGTCAATATTGTATGACTGTTGAAAGAGTTTGTAATTATTTTATCATTACTGTATGACTGTCATTATTGTACGAATAAT